CCTCGAACACGTGTCTCATCATTTTAGGTGTTCTATTTGTGGTAAAAATTTCGTTTTGATCGGCCTTATCATCTTCGAGATGTAGAAATGGTCAAAAAAGAGGGGGGACCCTTAAGGCTTGTTCTTTCAATCCTTCAAAAGAATAATCCAGTCAATTTCCAGAGTTTTCTATCACAATCTATAATCTTGCGTTGTTACATTGTCGGTGATGGTCAGCACGTGAAGGGAGTGAAGAGTGTAAAAGTCTTGTTGTATTAGTTTATGTCTCAAAATAGCCCACTTTTCCTGTTCTCTCCACTTATATCGTTTTGTAAATTTTTTTTATCGTGTTTCAAAATAATTGTATTTTTCTAATGGTTGTTTAGTCATTTATCAAACAGTACTGAAGTTATACAAGTATCTACTGCTTCTATCAACAAAGCAAACACAGCTTCTTTTCCAACATCCAAAATGGCAATTCCTTCTACTAGACCTTATTCAATAGGTAATAAAATACTTTGTGTTTTTATATGGAATGCTGTGATTTTTTTTTCGCAGATGGTCATATTTCTTCAATTAGTGCATCTAGACAACTGGAAGCTAGCAAACATGAGGAAACAATAAAGTTATTGGAGCTTGAACGAACATCATTAGTTAAAGAATTAAATCATTTGCGTCAATTATATGACGAAGTGAAAAGTGATTCTATTATACAAAAACGTCAAATACAGTTATTGCGAGATTTTTATACCGAACAAAATGAAGTATTAAAACATGAACAAATTGAATATTTTACTCGTATTTTAAATTTAATTCAAGATCTTCCTGATTCAAATAGAAATAAAAATTTCAATAGACAAAATTCTTCGTCTTTATCATTAGAAGAAATAAGAAATGATTTAGATCAACGAATAAATTCTGTTACAACTAATTATAAGTCATTATTAATGAAGGTTTCTAAAGACAAAGACAAGTCTATTTCAAATGATGTTTCTCTTCTTATATCAAAATTTCAAGACAAGTTTTCTCATTTATTCAATAATAATGGAAGTGATGAAATGACATTGACAACGGAAGATACAAGTATAAATAATCCATTACTGAAAAATATTATTTCATTTCTTAATGATCTATACAAACAAATAAATAAAATTTTACATGATAAAATAGAACTTAGTGAACAACTAATTACCTTAGAAAAAAAACATCGTAACTATTCAAAAATACAAGCAAAAATATATAAAATTATTAATGAAGATAAACATTCAAATTCATATTTAAAACAATTAGCAAATCAAATGACTGAAGAACTTGATCAAATAGAAGAATTAACAGATCGTCGATCAACTGTCACTAGTATAACATCATCGATTTCGACTATTGAAAACAAACCAGTTAGAATTGAGACTTTCATTTTTTTTTATTTAAATTATTTTTTTTAGTCACGCGTACTGAGTCATTCATTGAAACTGCAACACATGGAGATTCAACAATTAAGAATAGCACTCGAAAGAGAAATTGAAGTTAGACAACAAGTAGAAGAAAAATTAAAACGATCGGAAGCAAAAATTATTTGCAAAATTGAGTTAGTGTTCATTGACTTTTTTTAATCATTTTTCTATTGATTATAATTATTCAAACAGTGAAATTAATCATTTGAAACAAGAAAATGAACTAATCAAAAAACAATTAGTTGATGAACAAGTAAAACATTTATCAATAACAACTATTCCAGGTAGATTATACATATTAAAGTTCCTCTTAAAATCGATTTAGAGTTAGATAAATTCAAATCAGATGAAGTCTTCAGAATATGTTGGAGAATGGTTGGTGAAGGAAAAGGAAGAAATCTTCGGTTTTAGAGAAGTTTTTGAGATACTGAACTTGTTACTCTGTTCATTTACTTCAAAACTAAGAATTTGAAAAAGTTATATATATATATATACGATGAACACCCAAAGTCATGCATTACCATTTTTTTTTCATAAGGATTCATATTCATCGAGATTGATATTTCACAATATAAAATTAGATATCTACATCTATTCTGTGCTAGAATTTAAACATTTTACTTACTTTTGTTCTCGAGATAAAAGTAACGTGAAAATTCCTTGAAATTTTTGATACATTTTTAGAAATAATCTATCATGCATAAAGATTAATACTGTTAGTATTTTCAACATTTTTCTTCTTTTTTTTCTACTTGATCGGTATACTTTTCTTCATCAAAAGATTCAATGTCAAATTCTCTACAAATCTATATATTATTTAATTTGAAGTTCTTGTATATATAATATGGGAGTCTGTGTGTGGATATGGCGTGTGAGTCTTTTCTTCATCAAACTTCTATTCATACCAACCTAACCGTCATCTATATCTACACTCAGTTGGGTTGAATGACTAAGAAGACTAGAATACAGAAAATAATAGTGTCTATTGTCAAAGAGTATTTGTAATATTTATTGAGAGGACTATTTGTTTGTATGTCGACTTGATAACGATTTCTATATTTAATATGCATGAAGTTGATTTTTTTTCAGGTGACTAAAACAAAGTTCCATCACTATTTTTAAGAGTTTCCTAAATTTTTTCTAGGTGTGTGAGGTGTGAATATGGATCTAATGAGACAGTGGGTAACATGAATGGTGCATCCCAGACAGTTGTTCCCCGGATATTTACTCTCGTGACACTTGCTCCCCACCGATAGTTGCTCTCCGGACACTTGCTCTCCAATGGCACTTGCTCCCAAAACACTTGCTCCCCGGGCATTTGTTCCTCAATGTCACTTGATGTTGAGCTACGCCTTCTTTTGTTGACAAGTTAAAGATTATTGTTAAAGACTTAAAAACGGAGTGTGGATGTGAGTGGGATGCGGATGTGGGTATTCCATTGTTCATTTACACCCACAACCACAGTGTCGGTATTAGTTTCTGGTTCCGTTCCCAGAAACTCGGAACCGGCGATACATTTCGTTCTCGAAACCCGGTACATGTTCCGTTCTTGGGAACCTGGGAATTCATACTGACTTGATAGAGATTGAAAGAATAAGTATGCCCATAAGTCTCAATATAATCAAAAACGCATGGAAATGAATTTTCAGGCGAGTTCCCGGGTTCCTAGAACCTGAAACTCGGTACGGATTTCGTTTCCAGGAATCCGGGTCTCGGTTTGGGTTGCGTTCCTTGGAACTCGGAACACGGTGTGGGTTCTCATACCTGGGAACCCGTTCAGGATTCGCATTATTAGGTGCGGGAGCACGGACCGATTTGGGGGTTCCGCGTTTCTAGAACCTAGAACGCGTTCCGTTCCCATGAACCTGGAACCCGGTAGGGGTTTCATTCCTAGAAACCTGGGATCTCATACCGACTTGATACAGAATGAAAGAATAAGTATGTCGAAAAGTTTCAACACAATCAGAAATGCGTGGAAACAAATTTTCAAGTGGGTTTCAGGGTTCCCAGAACTCAGAATCCGGTGTAGGTTCCGTTCCTAGGAACCCGGAAACCCATATCGACTTGATACAGATTGACGGAATAAGTACGTCCAATATTCTCAACATAATCAGAAAGGCGCGGAAATGAATCTTCAAATGAGTTCTGTTGCTTGAGAACGGACCCTTATGGAATGCGGAATCCCGATACCCCTAACCCACACCCACATTCTTTAAAGCCTTTAACAGTTATCTTTAGCTTGTCAACAAAAAAAAGGCGTAGCTCAATACCAAGTGACACTGGGGAGCAAATGTTTGGGAAATAAGTCACATTGGGGAGCAAATGGCCGGGAAGCAACTGTCGTCAGGGAGCAAGTGTCGCGGAAGCAACTGTCTGGGCTGCAGCATTCAGGAATTTGAGACAGTGAGTTTGATATCATTGTGATTGAAGAGAACAGATATTCCTGCACCCTCATACAACGATATCCATATGCCATCTTCTTGAATATGAATTGTTTGAACAATGAGAATAAGTTTGATGTTTGTATAAAAGCCTCAACTACGATATATACCACAATGAAAGAGTAACAGCTTCTAAATGACTCTACTAAACTTGGATAAATCTATAACATGAAAAAAGAAATAGTTTGACGCAATATCTCATAAAATTCTTCAAATAATTTCATAGAGAAAGAGATTTATAATATCATATAAAACTGAATGTTGAAATGTCTGAAAAATGATAATTATAGAATCAGTCAGTATTTCATATACGGCAACAGTATTTTCAGAGCTTGGTCGGTTTGTAAGTTTTCTGGATTTTTTTCAAGATTCATCTATCCCAGTCTTAAGATTTGAAAAGAATTCTTTTTTATAAACTACACAAATCAAAATGAGAACAGTCGTTCTTCTATGATAAATACAAGATGACAAAAGTTACAATCTTCAAAACAACTAGAAACAAATATATTTATGTTCCATATACAAGAATTAATTCGATTGATATATTGTTCGTTTTTATTAGACAAATCATCGACTACCGATGGTTCTAATTGTACATCAACTCATGAATTTTTAAGACCTATCACTAGTAAACCATCCGTTCTACAAGCGCCAGTGAGAAGATTAACTTGTGTTGGTTCATGAAAATACTTTTATTAAATTTTAGTCGGATAAGCCAAATATTAATCAAGGACTAACTCTACCTCAAGTAAAATAATTAAATTACGAATTTAATTTAAATAAATTGATTGTTATTTTTGTGTAGAACGAATTTCATGATTTTAGAATCAATAATTTTTCTTCGCCATATATTTGTCATCATTGTCACGATGTCTTAATTGGGCTTATGCGACAAGGATTTTTCTGTGAACGTAAGTCGATTTAATTCTAATTTTAATCTTCAAATAAACTTATGTTTTAGGTTGTGAGATAATATGTCATCCTGATTGTATAGAGAAAGTCAAAATGCCATGTGAACCGTCTAATAAAGATCCAAGTAAAATTTTTTATTGATTTTTCTTGTTTTTTATCTGTATGTTTGTAGATCAAGCTAATCTAGACGTTCAACATATTGTTCAGGTATGTTCTATAAATATGAATCTTCTACTTTTAAATAGAATTAAAACAGATACCAAAAGCTGGTGGTATAAGAAAAGGCTGGAATCAATGTCAAATATTATTTTTTCAAACAAAATTATTATTTTATGACTTATCAAATAATTCAAATGTAGCAAAGTCAGGACCATCTTTAATAATTGATCTTAATGATGATACATTTAATGTTTGTTCAATAACACCAGAAGATGCAATACATGCTAAAAAGAGAGATATACCAAACATTTTTAAGGTTTAGATTTTTTTTTGTTGATATTTCGATTTTTCAAAGTTTAATTTAGATTAGTGTAGAAAAATTATCATCACCAAAACAAGTAAAAGATCTATATGTACTAACCAATAATGAGTCAGAAAAAAATCAATATATTAGCATACTATACGATCTTTCAATGAAATTCAATACTCATACAAAAAATGGTTTAATAGTTAGTCTACAAATTTTGTTCATAAAATATTTGTTAAATTAGTTTTTCTTAGCATTCTGAAAATTTTACTACAAAAGAAATATTTGATATAAGTTTACAAAAAATAATAGGAGCTCACATTCTTGGTAATATCTAATCAAAAATACAAAATGAAATATTTCAGTTTCTTTTAATTTTAGATTCCAACCGTTTCCTAATTTTTGGTGAAGAGGGTCTTTATTTACTCGATATCTTTGATAATAGTATAAATCCTCTATATTTGTTTTTTATTTATATTTGTTTATTGATTTCTTCTTAGAACCTACAAGATTATACAAAAAAATTATTCATCAATTATCTTTAATATCAGACAATCAATTATTAGTAATGCTATCTGGAAAGGAGCGCATAATACGTATAACACCACTTAAATGCTTACTTACTCAGTCGCAATCATCATGGGATGGCAAAATACTTGAAACAAAAAATGCAACAGCATTTACAGTAAATTCAACATCTCTAACTTTATGTGTTGCCATTAAAAATCGTCTTCTTCTTTATAAAATACATTCGAATCCTAGACCATATCCATATACACTTATACACGATTTGTATACAACTCAAACACCCACATATTTAGAACTATCGATATTAAAAATAAATAACAATGAAGAAGAAATACTCTGGTATGGTTATTCATCAATATTTATTGCACAACAGATTGATCAACAATGTCCCAGCTTTGCTTTGTTAAGAGATATTGATCTAACATTACAAGTTTTTCGTAAACTACCTATTGACATTTTGCGTGTTATACCTGTGACAAGTCAGTTATTGAATTTTGCTTGAAACAAAAAAAATCAAATTAATCCTATTCTTTAGGTTCATCATCTATCAATGAACTTTTACTTGTCTATAGTAAACTAGGTATTTATGTAAATTATTCAACAGGAATGCGAACACGTCATAGAGAATTAATGTGGGCAGCAGTACCGATCTCAACATCCTTCTCCGACCCACATTTACTTGTCTATACAAAAATATCTATTGATATTTATGATGTATCATTAGGAATATGGTTACAATCATTGCCATTATCAAATACATTTCCTTTAACATCAGACGGAACAATTTCTCTTTCTTATGATCCAGAACTTGTTAAACATCATGCAACATTAATTCACATAACACAACCAAATCGGTTAAAACAAGTTCTGAACATATCAGAAAGATCTTCAAGTACATTGATATCTGAGCCAACAAATTTTATACATCTTGAGCATCTAGGAAGAGGTGAAGGTTTAAAAATACTATTACGTTCAACATACAATCAACAACATGATAGAGTAACATCGACCAAGAAAACACATTTATTGAGTTCACTGAATGATAATAGATCGCTGGCTACTATAAATTCACATAGATCAAGAGCACATACGTCTATACCACTTGATGACACTGCTGTCCGGTTGGTTTAGTCTTACAAAGATATATTTCTTTTTAATCTTTTGTTACTCTAGATCATCAATTTTATTAAAAGTAAGTATAAACGCAAGCACAACATGTGTTGCTATCAAATATATTTCGAATCGATTGTAGAGTAGGTGACCCTAATTATGAAGATAAAATAATTGCTGACCTATGTTGATTGACATAGTGCGCAACAATTGTATATTCCTTTAAAAGAATTCAAATATACGTAAATATATATATACGTATATGGACAATTTTCGAAGTATTTTATTTCGAATCATATAGCAACGAACTTTCAACGACAAGTAACAGTTGAGAAGTAGGAACTGTCTCTTCAATAGCGGTCGTCAGTTAAATTGTTGTCTCAGAAATAACGAGGGAATGAGTGAGGTATTACAGAGCACTAATTTTTCCGCTATTCTTCTCTAGAGAAAGTTCGTTGCAAATAATCTGAAAAAATACATCTAAACGATTGTCCACGCATAAAGATATGTTTAATTGAATGTAAAATAGTTGTGCACTGAGTCGAACAACACAGATCACTAGTTTGCTGTTATTTTTGGGTCATTTGCTCTTAAATTGATATGGCAAAACGAACATCTAATGACTTTCTTGGTATTCAGAATAAAATACAAAGGCAAGTGACTATCGATGGTGACTCATCTTATACTCCTTCAATTGAAGATGAAGAGAGTAGTTATTGAGCTGTGAAGTGGTATTGATTTGGAAATTTTAATAATGACATAGGAGTTTGTCCTCTTGTCGATCCTGTTGAATAATCATAAATTAAATCTTTTTGTATCGTATGTATCGTTGAATATTTTAACATTGTATTGGTTGCTGTGTGATCACACTTAAAGATCAATTTTTTTTCTATAACTCATATTTAAATGTATGCTAAGGCTATATGAGTAAAAACAATGTTTATTTTTTTGTGAAACTATTTTTATGGATAAAATGTGCTTAATATTAACTCAATCACGAATTTGAACTTTATTAATATTTAAACTATTTTCTTATTTTAATTAAAAAGAAAACAACATGCATTTAATAGATTAGAAAATGATTGAAGACATGTCACTATATATGTAAGAGCAGTTAAAATAGCCACAACTATGATTTGCGAATGAGACACTACAGATTTCAATAATTGATTTTTCTTTAAGATATATCTAGCCGCAAATAACAATCATGCAATGACAGTATGTCACATTATTGTGTACAATTATTTTTTATAAGACGTAATTGATCATATACAGGACATATTGATATGAAGTTTTGACTTTGAAATGAAAATAATATCCATTCTAACTCCTGCAGTTTTAATCAAAATGATTTCAATTGCTTCACGGTCAACGAATATCTATTTTGAACATTCTTATGTTAGGTTTCGATGAAATATAAACTTTAATAAATCAATTCTCAATTCCAATAGAACTGTGCACACTGAAATAAAATGTGTCGCATGTGTCATATTTTGCGACACGTTTTGTCCAGCGACGGCGCGACACATTCTGAAGTTGTGGTTTGAATGTATTATGCAACGCATTTTTCATTGTTTTTTCTGTAAAAGTAATTTATGATCTTTTTTTCAATTTTTTCCATTTAATTATTCATATACTGAAAGCTGAAGCAGGCCAGATCTTGAGATCTGTCTGGCCTCGAGTTGATCCAATCTGCATCAGATTGCTCTTGGATTATCCTTTCTCAATTACGGATCGAGATCGGCATGTGCTCGACTGGTAAATAATCGAGAAATAGTCTAGAATAAAAAAAGAATATGAAAATAAATCAGTTTCATATGTTCAGTCAAGTTGTCTTTATGAGAATGTTTGCGAAAAAAAAGGTGGGCGCATAGGCAACAGACAGAACGTGATAAATCCATATACAACACATTCTGATTGCGATACATTTTCACGATTGAACGTGCGACACTATAACTTGCGACACATTTTATTTTAGTATGTAATGAAAGTTCCGTTTAAATTCTTTATTGCGACATATTGTTGACTGAGCAATTATTCATAAGCTCATGTCAGGTTCATCTTGCGGTATTTCATACCTTTTTTATAATGACATATAACGTCCTAAGAGCAACAATAATCACAAATAATACAATTAACTACAAGACAAATAATATTTAAAAAAATGAATTATTTGTTTAAGAATGATAATTTCAAGTTTCAAATATCTCAGGACCGCAACAATATCTTGTCAAACGATTGGCACGTAAATTAATCAAACAATTGCCTTTATCACATATATAAAAACTAGCCAAATTAGCGACTATCGATTGAGTAGCTGCTGTGGGAATCCGTTGTGAGTTACGAGAAATGACTGTTATGTGTCCATTAGTTTTTGATGATTTTATTTTTTCTATGTTTCTATCTAGGCTTTTGTCATTGTAGGCCTGACAACACTGACAAGAATTGATGAATGGTAACTTCAAAACTATCTAGAGTTTCATGTCATTTATGAACTATAGATAGTGTCATTCCTTACAACATAAACTCATTAGAAAACGTGGTTACTCTCATGAAGAGCAATGTCGTAAAGTAAGACACCGTTTTCAATAGCATGGGAGACTATCTTCCAATGACATTTCACAACGTTAAAAAATTGATTAGATAATTCTAACTTTTTGTATTTTAATTTTAAACAAATAAAACTAAACATAACTTGACATTTTGTTTTTCGTTGAAAGTAACTGTTGCATCGAAGTATTAAAAAATCATTTAACTGTCATTGTTGCCTTAAAAATAGCCAATTGTTGTCTTAAGTTGTCTTTTTATTGCACTTGAATTTTCTCCTTGACCGACTCTATTGGACATATCACATAGTATGCAATCGAGACTGTAATCACCAATATTCTGAAAATAATTGAGCATGTCTTGGAATTTTTTACGCACAGGTTCGTTTCGCCATCGATGATAGCTTTCATACAATGTTCTGTTCATTGCAATACTTTTTACATGTATAGCAGCATCTTGTGGCGTTTTAAATTTTCTTAAATCAATAATACAGTTACTCTTGCATGGTAACCAATCTTCAACATTTGGTGCACCAAGATAAATAGGCACACTTCCAGCCACCAATGGATGCCATAATTTTTCCGTTATGTAATCATAACTAAGACTATTCTCAATAGCAATCGTGAATAAATATTCACTTGATAATATTAACTTTCCTGCTTCCCAATTGTAACTACCGCGGTCTTTTAAGTCTCGATTGACCGAACGTTGAATTTCAACTATATGTTCTGGTAAACTGCGAATATTATTGCCACACGTACCATAATTATCTACATCTATGTATTTCATCAATTCATGCATGTATTCTGTACGCCTTGACTTCGTCTTGCAATTGCTGTTCATCCATAAAATTGGAGCTCTTACATGCGATATATTGCTTTTCTCTTTTGGTGTAGGCGAGAGCTAACAAAGAAATAATATTGATAATTACAATTGTTTTCGATTTTTTCAGTGAAAAAAAAGTTTCTTGCTAAAGTTTTTCTCTAAGCAATCGCCTTCTACTAAATAGCTCCTAATTAAAACTGATTTTCAGTTTAAATAAACGTTATTGAAACTAAATACTTGCTATATTTTTTTATTGAAACCTCGGTCGATGCTACTCGATGCCACTTATCGACTGATTCTAAACATTTTCGTGAGTTTCTTCAAGCGGACATGTATTGACTCAAGATCATTACGATAAGGTGCAGACGTTTTCTGCAGAAGGGCACAAGACAATATAGAAAAGCAATCCTAAATACCGCATAGAATTTCAATGAACAGAAAGATATTTCAATACTGTGTGAATATAGAATTGAATATTTTTCCTTCATTAATTCCAAAAATGAACCCTTTCAAGGATTCCTTTCAGTAATTTAGAGTGACTAATGAACCTCAATCCTAATGCAATTGAAATGAATTCAGCCCGAAAGTTTAGTACTGATACCATAAAATACAACATTCTCGATAGATTTCATCGATATGTATCTCTTTAAAAGAACGCATGATATTATTTTATAACATAAAAACAGTCAAATGGCACGAAAAATATTCTTACTCAACTACAAAATCAAAGACGTAGTACAATCGTTTTACGACTAACAAATTTTAAAAACTGCAATAGCTTCTTCCTTCTAATAAGAAATCAAATTTTCAAAATTTATCTATAGTAATAATGTATTGGGCTCTATCAACTTGGTTACTTATTTGAAAACTACCCAATATCGATAAGAGCTTGACGAACAGTAGTTATCAAATTTTTTTGGGTTTTCGTTTCCAGAACATGGTCTTAAAGATATTCACCTTCCAAGTCAACAGATGTAACATTTCAAATTCTGTCAAATACTTTTCGTGATAATGTTTGATCGATTCTCGAACTGACTGTTGAAGTTAAAAATTTTCATTCACATAAAACTGTGTCGACACTAGATAATTAGATACATTTTGTGTACGTTTTCAAGACCCTAAAAACTAAGTGAAATTTCGATATTCTATTGAGTCCTGTATTCTTACCCGACGTTACTCGTTGGCCAGAGTCAGACGATAGAAACCTTTATAAGTATAATTAACGTACCGAAAGCTATACCTGTGTAGCACTTCATATAGAAAAAGGTTTAGTGTGTAGTTTAATAATGATTTCAGTAATTGAAACGAATTCGAAATCCTTTTTAGGCTGCGTGAAGTATACTAAGCCTTTGAAGACACTTTAGGATTTTACAAGATTTTTTTGGTTTTGCAGATTCGACGCACACACAGATGGCGTTTCAATTTCTCTAAACTCTTGAACTTCCATCTTGTTTCTATATTTTAGTGCACTTGAGTAGAATATCAGCATTGTTTTCACAAAAAGAATAGGCTGTTAGTTAGAATTCAGTACCTCTAAAGTGGTGCTTCTGTCATACGTTGTACTTTTAATGCTAACAATGAACGGTGCATAATTGTTCAAAAAGGAATACAGTACTAGCAGCTATAGAAAGTTCTAAAACCTCTAGCACCAGATAGAAAATTTGCAATTAACTTTTTTTAAAGAAAAAGTCTATCAAAAACTAACAATTTAATCTGCGTCACCTGTTCTCGTATCAAAGTATCAGTTTGCAGTAGCACCTACACATTACTCACTGTTGGTATATTGGTCCAATAGTTATCTGAAGTTGAAATGGAATGAATCGGTTTTTTACTAGACATTGCTTTCTCTATTGATAATCTTTCCGAGTTAAACTTCAACTGTTCAACATAGTTAAATAGCCAAGGAGCAGGAATAAGATCATAAATTGATCGGTCATAACCAAAAGTTATATCAAATAGCTTTAGATTTTGGCTGTCAGCAGCCCAAGGATAATTACTAATTGACTCAAAATTGAAGACGAATCCCCACATGCTATCACAAGTACGAAAATTATTATTTAATATGTTTATGTATAATTCTTTTGAAATTGGAGTGAATGAGTCAGCGATGATTGATGGATAAGCAGAATTATCATATTTTTTCAAAAATAAATCTAACGTAAAACCACGTTTACATTGAAGATTTGATTGATTCTTTAGCGAGAGACTATCATGAATTTTTAATACTCGACCATCTTTCATACACTTGACATCTTCCAATGTACTTGGTGAAGCATATATCATTCGACATGGTAGGCGCTTACAATCGCCCAAGTTATATGCCCGACAAATGGCATTTGAAATCAATCTTAGTTCATTCGGAATATCACACCATGGTGTCCTATTAGTAGGATCGTTAAAACGAAGTTCCCGCCAAGGTACCAGATTAAATATATATTTGACTGCTGAAAGTTGCTGACATTTTGAAGGTTCATTGTGATTAATTTTGCGATCAATATTATCAACGATAACAAATAAGTATATCATGAAGCACGTGAAACTACCAAAGCAAAAAATCCTCCAATATCGTCTTCTCTTTAACTGATAGAGTCGCATAATTGTTCGTCAACAATTTCTAAAAAGTAGAAACAAAAGTTTTCTATTTAAAGACGCTCTGACAATCCAGATTTTGTTGACAATGAGTGAAATAATTTGCGAAACCGTTTCATAATCTATATCAGATTTTATTCGATTTCAAAAATCATATCAATGAAGACAGAAATTATATTAAAACGTGAAGAAAAGAAATAGAAATATATGGTTCTTTTGATTCAGAAATTAATCTATGTCTTACTTAGCTGCAATTCTTCATCATTGATTAGAACACATAATAACACAAGGGATGATATGACAAGAAATGTCAATCGGTGATTCGTCCTCTTCATAAATCTATTCTATTCCAAAATCATAAAATGATATTTGAAAGATATTTGCAGTTTTTTTGATAAAATAATTTACTCGTTACCGTTGCTGACTTGAAGCAATCAACATTCACAGATGGTGAAAGTATCCCAATTTTTTGGCTAAGAGATTATACATTTCTTTTAACAGAACGTAAAAACAAATTCCACTCTCATGCAAAGAAACAAAGTTTCCATTACTCGAGGATGCTACATCTCTGACCAGCATTTTTAATGAAAGAGTGTACCTTGCAAAACAAAGTATTCAGCACTCTAATGAAACAGAATTTATACACTGTTTTACACATGAAATGATAAAATAGCTTGTACGCTAGAGACATTGAAATTTCTTTTTACACTTTACTTTTTTAAAAGATTTTCGTATCTTTCTACTTAAAAGAAGTTTATCGATTGAACGTGATCAAGACTGCACACATCATGTCCAATAGAATAATAGATAGAGCCATTTTTGCATCTTCTATATCCTTGTATACCTAGCTTACGTATATGGCTTGTATACCACCTGGCATGAATGTGAAGAAGTACTGAAATAATACATCGAAGATCTGGAAGAGATACAAGAAAAGAAAACACTAGAAGAAAATCCATTTTACAAGATCTCAGTTTTAGTTAATATCTGACAATTTTCAACGGTTACAGATTCTAAGTTTCTTGTTCATTTTTTTTATAATATCGATGTCTCTCTTAAAGTGAATTTTAGACAAACATAATGCAATCAGCACAATGGTGGGTCTGGGAAAGTATGTCTTGGATCTGAATCTTTTCTACACTCGCATCCACACCATTAAATCTTCGTGTGCTCATTAAAATGAAAAAAGAAATAAGTATCCTTTTAATAAAAGTTTTCTAGTGTGGCTAGGCACTAGTTTTTCACCTTTTGTATGCCTTGCTCTACAAAACAGTATGTACAGCTACATGGTGTTCTGAAAAACCAAGTGTACCCGTACAGTATATTTTAGATTCTCATGAAAAACATTGTTTCTGACTATCTTCCATCCTCATTCAGATCATTACATGTAAGAAGTTAATACCTGCACACATTGTAATTAAAGCACTATGGTATTCAACCGTTCATTCATTCTTGATTCTGTACGAAAGTAAAAGTTTTTTTTTTTTTGCCTTCTCCGCATCATTGGCTTTCTCTATCTGTGAGATGAATCATCAGGATGTTCATAGTGAATGTCTATGGAACCTTACGACAACTCATGTTCAAAAAAAACGCATAATAATCCGTTCAAATTGCAGTATCGACATAAGTGAAAATCAAGAACTGGAAAACAAAATTTGACAGAAATATAGTTGTTAAGATTTTTCACTTATCTGTTCCGTTGTTTTTCTAATAAGTCTTATCTATAGAAGATGGCGTTACACTACAGTTAAAGTGTGAAGGAAGGCAACTCAAAATTACTTCACAGCTATTGAATAGGAGTGCTGTATTACCATTACTAGTAATAAGTAAAATCTAAGTTGTATTTTTCCGATATAGACTGGTTCCGATATTTATAAATTATTGATAGAATTACTGTAGTTTCTCGATGGCGAAGACTACGTTTGATTGAAATAACACTTCTCCAAAATGTAGAGCGTTAATTTGGCTTCGCAATAAAAGACTTTTCATGTAAACTACAAAAACACTCAACTTTTTCTTTGTTAGTTTATATCATTTTAATTATTACTAAACTTAGACTATATGAGTGTGTACTACTGGAATATTGTTCGAATATCGGAAACATGAAAGTTTTTTTTTTACAAACATAATCATTAAAATTTTTAAGGGATAATCTTTAGGGAAAATATTTGCTACTTCGCACAGACCTACTCGTTCAATGAATATTTTGTTCATGAATAATATAATTGTAAGAAATAAGAACTAAGTAGGAATGTAGTGCAATTTTTGAGTTGATGGATGAAGGATATTGCTCAGGGTCTTTGACTATCTTACTCTTCGTTTATAAGAATAAAACTGATCAAAAATGATGTAGCGAATAGATTTCTATAATTGTTTCTCACGAATAAGCTGTCATTTATATGAATTTTTCAATGGTATGCATTGCTATATTCTATTTATGAGATGTTATGATACTTTTCTTTAAAGACTTCTTATGTTAGCTTTTTCGATATCCATATTATCTGAAGTTGTATAGTTGTATATGTGTCATAGAAATCAAACGAATTGCAACTGAGTAAACTGGAATAAGAGTATTAACCGGGATGAATGCAGATTTCGGCAGATCTTCTCTACAGACAGAACCATTTTGAGCAGGATCTGACATCTTGTATTGAGTAGATTCTCTAAGAACCGACCATGGCTTATATGGACTGTCTCGATGTATTAGACATTGACAGAATCAAAATGTGTCACATTGTAACGTGTGTATTGATCTGACTCTTTTAGGTCCCATCAAAGAAATGTTAGAAAAACGATAGATTTGTATCTACATTATCATACAAATACAAAGCATACCGTACAAAAATTGTTGACATATGTTTGTAAAAAAACTGGCAAAGTCCAGAGTATTAAAAAAAGAAAGAATAAACGAATTCCTTGTTACGTTGGAATAAAGTATCATAATACAATATATTAACACTTGATAATATCGAATTCTCTTTTTTACGTGCAAGTTTTGTTTTTCATACGACGATAGAACAGTTTCACTAGCTGCTAATGTTTGCTTACGAATCATTTGTCTCTGATTTTTACTATGAAAAAAGTCTAAATGAAATCATTCGAGGCGTAGCTTAATCTTATGTTATCTTGCAAGGTTGCAACCCTTTACACAAGTGTTGAGATAAGCAAGCGTGTTTGACAAAGAAATGCAAAATTACACACTGCAAAGCATATTCGTATTCTGATTTGTTACTGATGCATATTTCATACGTTCTGATCTTCTATTTATTTTTTGGTATGAGTCTTCTGAGACTAAACTCGAATCTTCATATTTATTTTATTACTAGGCGTGACTTTTTCGAATGCTTACAATTGTTATGAATGCTGGAGTGTTCTGGTACCAGGTTGTGGTGAACCATTCAAAGCAAATACTAGAATAGAATTCATAAAACTCGTAAAAATTACGACGTCTTTAAATGCTGATAGTTTGAAAACTTGTCCACGGGACTAATGAATGACATGTCTGGTATTAGTATAGTAGCAGCCACTGCTAATCAACGTTGTGGTGTAAGTTGTTTTATTTGAAGATATATTGATATTGATCCTTCGTTGAATAGGCTTTGAAAACTACTCATGACGATGGAAGCGAAGGTATTGCTCGAAATGTAGTCGACCTCAGTTGGTGTACTTTTGGTGAAAATAATTGTCACTCTGAAAAGAACAACGGCGTTACTAATACATATTGTTGTTGCTCATCGGAATTGTGTAACGGCCACTCTTTTTCTTCATCCTCAAGCAAAGCTACCTTTGCCTTTACTCTTTTCATTTCATACTTGATTTGGCTCGTTAACATACCAATCCTTTCTAGTATTTTCCCCTAAGCAACTTTATTACAAGAAAATTTTGAATAAAAAATAATACTGATGTTTCCGTAGATGATTGTACAAGTACTCATCATTATTTGATATCACAGGCACATTATTTATCTTACTTTGTCAATTGTATGAAGATGTTACCAAAAAAATGAATAATAGACAATTGTATGAATTCAGTGAGCCCATAAAGAAGGATTAGCGCGTCTATGATATTTTTTTTAATGAAAATCTTCTGATGTGATCATATAAGATGCACGTTTGCTGAACACAGTATCAGCAATCTATTGTAAAAATATTCTTGAACACACAAAGTTTGACAAGTCATCGTGAAATGTATTGAATAATTAATATTAAAACGATGCGGAACTAATATTTAACGTTTACTTCATACTAAACAAAGTTTCACTTGCTTTTTTTTAATGTTTAACATTTGAAAGAAAGAATAGAATTGCGATCTGCCTCGTCTTACTTACGATTGCACATTTCAACACCTCTTCTAGAGAGGTGATAAGGAGCACCTGATCTTTTACAAGAATAAAATGTTAACTGCGAAGATAATATATCACTCATCAACATTGATGCTAAAAACTCGATATAAAGAATAACGGATTGGCTACAAGGATGGTCGTGTTTTGAATCTTATTTTTTCATCATTTCATACGTTTAATTAACAAAAAAAAATATAAACATAAGATTCAGCATGAAAAGTTCTACAATACAAAGTTTATTGTATATATGTACCTTTAGCTTTCAAAACAGATGAAATTTTGTGTGACCGAATTTCAATGCTACGAAAAAGTTTTTCTTGTTGTTACATGACGAATTCCTTTTCTTACTTCTTCTATTATGAATCATATCGAAAAGTATAGTCAATGGCCGGTTTAGGACTACTTGATATGTGTTTCAATTACATTTTTTTTCACTCACTCTAATGTTATTTATAAAAGAGACATTCGAATTTTATACTAACAAATTACATTTGTATAAGTATATTAGTTAACAAAAGGAAATGAAATGTGTATAACTACAAAAATTGGTTATACAAATGATTGGCGAAGCATGACATCTGTTCAAAGTGCTAAACTAGTACGAACCATGATCACTAGAATAATGCTAAAAACTATTGTTCAAAAATTAATGAAATACGATTAATAATTCATTGTGTAACAACAAATAAATGAAAAAATAAAATATAAAATGCGCTCATAATTCTATCCTACCCGTTACTTGGAAAAAATTTATAAGCACAATGAACAAAACACTCTCAAAGAGTCCTGCCATTTTTCACTTGAAAAATTCCACTTAGAATGAATATGTAATGGATTAAAATTACATGTGATATAAACATGTTTGAAACAATATTAGCAAATATTAACTGTAATATCGTCATACTCATGTTAAAAATGGATGCTTATACTCTCAATATAAAAATCATCAAGACTTCTTAACTTCTTTCATAAGTAGATTTAAAATATATCTAGATTTGTTGATTTTTCTTTTAAAACAAAAATAATTATAAGAATATAAACAAATTTAAGTGCGCCATTTTGATACTATCAGCATGTATTATGCCTATCGAAATATCACATTCATTTCATGATACTATTGATTTAACTCGTCTTCGTTGGCGTTTTGTGATATGTGCTGCTTCATTCTATGTTAATGCTATTACATGGGGATTTATTTCTTCCACTGGAATTTTCGAAGATGCATTCAAAACTACTTATCAATTATCATCATTTAAATCAACTCTTCCAGGTTCTATACAAATTGCTACTATGTCTGTATTCAGCGTTTTTGCCAGTGTATTGGCAATAAAGTATGGTGTTCGGTGGACAACAGTATTGGGTGCTTTTATTTCAGCTATTGGTTCGATATTGGCAGCTGTTGTTGGAGATTATTGGGCTTATTGTTCATTCTATGGACTTTTGGTTGGTGCTGGTGAAGCTTTTATGCTTGTACCTGTAAGTTTTATATCGAAGAATAATTTTCGTAGATTTTATTCTAGGCCGTTTTGGCCATTCCATCTTACTTTCACTTTAATCGTGTTTCATTAGCAACTGCTACAGCTGTAAGTGGCGCATCAATTGGAATGTTTGGAATCCCATTGTTACTTCAATATCTTCTTGATTCATATGGTCTTCGTGGAGCAACACTTTTAGCAAGTTGTTTATGGTTAAGTGTTGGTCTTGCTGGTTCTTTGTTTGGTCAAGGTGTAATCAGTATTGAAGAAGAAAATACGGAAATGCTTGTAGATGAATCTTTTGTTACAAAAACAGAAAATGAAAGAGAACATCCAACGATTATGCGACGTCGGTCAAATGCATCCAATAGTGGATTAGTATATAGTCGACGAACATCTCTTTTACCAACTTCTGTTCATTATCCTAAAGAACACAAACGTTTATCGTTATCCAATCAACAACACCGTAATAATGATAAATTAATAGTCAACCAGCCTATTATTTTAGAAGAAATAACATCCAATACTCAAGATAAATCAAGAAGGTATGTTGAAGTCGTCAACAGAAAGTAATTCTAATTATGTCAAAAAGGAAAGGCTCCTCAGTTTTTATTCTATTTATTGACGATGTGTATTAGCAGTATATAATACATTTTACTTATATCATAATAGGTCGATAATCGTAAAGAGTCAACTATCATCATTAGTTTGTTCTAATTTTCATCCTACTTCTTTCTATTTAATGTTAAAAATAAGTAGCAAAGCTCATAGAGAATCTTCACAAAATGAGTTTCGAAAATTTGTTAATTTTAATTATTGAATTATAAAATAAACTAATTTCTTTATTCAGTTCAGTAGATTCATCACCAATCACCATGAAGTCTCATACTGTTCAATCAATAAACACTAATGCTCATTCACTAATCCCTCATAATGATCACAATCGTTTATCAATTGTGGCTATTGCACATGCAGTTCGAATGGCAGACAATGCAATTTATAAACAAATTGGTATATCTCAACAAGAACAAGAACAACAATCTCAAATTCAATCGAATTTATCCAAAGATAATGAAAATATTCGTTGTAAAATAATCTCTGAAATATGTTGTTTATTTCATATCAATATCTTTCGTATATTAATTGTGTCGATAATTCTTGTTTGGTCATTAGATGAAACAAATTTTTTATTTCTTACTGATCTTCTTAAATCATCTGGACAATCAGAACAACGATCAACATTATTAATTTCTATTATAGGTGTAGCTGATCTAATAGGACAATTATTTTTTGGGTATACTATAAAAATTTCTTGTAATATAATCATTTTATTTCTTCAAAGATATTTGGGTGATATTGAATGTATCGATTCATTTATTCTATGGACATGTACATCAATTATTGCTGGTTTAACACTTAGTATAGTTCCATTAGTTGGATCTTATGGAATTATTGTTTTATGTATACTTTTTGCTATTCATGCTTTCTTTCTCGCAGCTCCTAATGCACTTGGCAATATTATTATGATAGAAGTTGTTGGTATGCATCGTTATCCTATGGCTTATGGATTTAGTTTGCTTGTTAGTGGATCAACATCCCTGTTCGGTTATCCATTACTTGGTGAGTAGAATATATTGATAATTGATGTCTTTTTATTTATATAGAACACTAAAAATAGGTTTGCTCAAAGATAAAACACAAAGTTGGACAATACCATTTGCACTTGTTGGTGCTAGTATGATTTTTGGTGGTCTCGTAGCGGGAACAATTCCATTATATACATTTTATAAGAAGAAAAAAAGAAAATCAAAAGAGATATCCATGACTGTAGAATAATGCATTGATGTTTAATGTTTTATAAATATTTTTAAATTGAAAATCTTATGAAAAGAATTCATTGAATAAGAAAAAAAAAGTCTTCATTCAATAATTCTAAATATTAATTTTAATGGAATTTCTCTTTGTTTTGAATTAGACGAAAAGAAAAACATTGGCATTAATAAGTAATTTTTAAAAAGTAACGTTTTTGCATAACATTATGTTGTGCTTCATTTTTGTTTTTTGTTATCTTGATGTAAAAATAAACTTCAATAAAAAGAAAAACTGTCAGATAATGTAGTGATGAAGACATTAAAAATGAATTTTGTTAGATAATTGATATGATTAGCAAATTGACTTTTTTTGTCCTTAAAGAATCTAAATAAATGTGTATCGATGAAAATTGAAATGAACTTCAATTATTCAAATAAAGTCTAAAAACACTTTTAACTTTTAATAACGATCATAATTCTACACAATTCTAATTCAATTAACTTGATACTAATCATACATATATATATCTTTGATATTTTTTAAATCTGTATAAAATATCATTTTTGAAAAAAAAAAAAACTTTTATTTAAACCGATTACAACATCAATATTAACGAAAAACAAACTAAACTCTGATTATTACAAAAAAATAAACGTGTAACGACATAAAATAAAATTCTTAATTTTTCTTTTTTTTTAATATGTTTACGAGTGTACTTAATCGAGATATGAATAATTTTAACATATTAGTTCAATGAATTGATCACTAGATGGTCGGCTTACTCCGCTTATTGAATCAGAATGTATGGATGAAACAGTATGTAAATAATCTATTTCAATATGAATTGTATTTTTTTCATTAATAGTTGTTTTTGTTTTTGCATTCTTTTTTACATGTCGATGTTTTCGTTCATGTATTATTTTTGATTGTTTTGCTAATTGTTCGCTTGTTGGTTTTCGACAACAATAAATTGTTAAACATTCAGCACGAAATAATTGTCCAAATACACAAAATGGAATAAAATTAGTAGCTGCATTAATAATAGCAATTAAATTTGCTATATTATGAAAACGTCTTACAAATGAACTTGATGATGAATCAAAGAAAGTTTTTATCGTTAATTCAAATGACCATAAAATCCAAAGAACTATTGTTGGACTTCGACATAAAAGTAATGCTAATACCATAGCAATAACCATTATTGTTATAGAATATTTTGAATGATGAAAACGATTGGATTGACGATTTGTTTTTTCAGAATGATTTGAATGATGTCTTTTTCTTATACTTTTTGTACGAGATTTACGACGCTTTAAAGCGCCTATTAATTGTAAATTCGAAAAAATTATGATTAACGTTGGTAATGTATAAACAAATATAGCATTAAAAAATAGATAAGCCCAACGATACGCTCTTCTTTTAGCTAAATCAGTATAACCTTTTGTAACAAGCATACTGTTTTTATTAAGTTTTTCATCGTTTACTGCTATTGATTCATTATCAAATTGAATCATTTGATAAACACTTGGTAGTTTTATAACTTCATATTCAAAAAGAAGTGGAACTGAATAAATAAATGCAACAATAAATAATGTTCGTGAAACAACTTTTGCTCTATATAATGTACAAAATGTTTTTCCATACAATGGATAACAAATTAATATATATCGATCAATTGTAACTGCTGTTGATATCCAAAAGGATAAAACTCGACTAGCAGCAGCTAAAGCTCCAAATATAATTTCAACTCGACGAAGAAAAATTGTTACTGACATACTCTGTCGAGTTTGAAGTAGAAATTCAATTATTAGCATTAACATTATTGTTATACATGTTATCATATCAGATATTGATAAACTAGTTAAATAAACGAATGTTGATAATTGTGTACTTAATTTATATAAAACAATGCCGGACATTAAATTACTTAATGAACCTAAGACAGCAAATGTAAAACTTGCTAATGAGATCCAATACGAAAAAGAATCTGATGGAGATCTATTGATAGAATTCCATAAATCATCTATTTCATGTTGGGCCCAAACTAAAACATTATGTGATGATAAATTATTCATCTATAAAAAAAAAAAAAAATAGAAACAAAATTTATTCTTAAAATGAAATCATTCATGTCGTAACAAAAATTATTTTTATTTGATGCGAAAATGAAATAGAAATTTTAGACATGAACAAAACTATCGTAAACCTCCTTTTTTATTTTAAAAAACATTTCAGAATGTCACAATAAAATCCATCATAAAAATTTCTTACGTGGAATCTAAGCTGATAATCATCTGTCACTGTTGACAAATTATCGACTGTTCTATTTTTTATGTTATTTTTTGCATACCTGTGTACTGAACTAACTTTATTTCTTTTCAATTAAACATCGATAATAAAAGTTATTATTATTGATTTTACATGGTTCATATCTGACCCAGAATAATAACTACGCACTTTGATAGAGAAAATAAAAGGTTCTTACAGGATAAATATATATATATATATATATAGACAAAGGGGATTCTATTGTATTTCCAAGATAATTGAGCCTACTCAATAATTGTTCAAGCATGATGAAAACCCATTTTCCACCTGAACGGAACACTTTTTTTTTTTATATATGAAGCGGCATAAAATGACTTCTTATCTCTTATAGTGATACTTCTCTCTTGAGAAAATATTTCGATTGGTTGTTAAAAGATTTCTTCACAAAGTTTTTTTTTTTTTCTATTCATAGAATATTTATTTAAACAATTAATAAATAATTAGCTTGTTGTTCTCATAAAAATTGACAATACAAAATTTTTTTAGTCATTCAATCGAAAATAAAAATCAAAAAATTGATATTAATTTCTATAGTATTTTGATAGTGAAATAAAAATTTTACAGAAAAGGAAAAATTTTTTTGACAAGAATAATATTCGACGATAGAATATTTTATAAATAACAACATTAATTACATTTGATCTCGTAAACCTAATGATACAAAGAAGAGTACTTGTTTAAATCAAGTTTTTTTTCACTTTTATAAAATATGTCTTCTAATATTGTCCTCAATAAAAACTTATTCTACCTTTAGAGAGAAATTTATTAAGCTATTTACGTCTTACAAAATTTTTTCATTAAAAATATGTATCTTTCACTGACTATATCGCATAATAATGATTTATATTTATTCAACTGATAAAAAATGATTAATTAAAGGACTTTCGTTTAATTATTTAGTAATGTCTACTGAAAATGCTTGATAAGAAAAGTTTATCCTGAAGAAGTGTTTATAAATATTAATGTATTCATTTCAGGAAGAAAAACAAACATGTCTAAGTTCACTAACGTCACCAGTTAACAGGCTTAGAGGTGATAGTGAAAGGAAGTAGTTCTTTTCTGTTTTTTCCGATGATCACATCTGTTCTTTCATTAATTATCATACATTCATCTAAATTTCAGGTTTTTTTTGCACCGTTTTATCTAAAAAAAAAAAGTAAAATCTATCTTTTAAATAGATATAACTGTTTACCTGGATATTGTTCATCTGACTCTGCTAAAAAATGAGATTATAATTCATTCTAACACATAAATTGTCTTGTTTTTTTTCTAATAGGAAAGTTGGAATCAAAAATTCTTTATTTCTGGTCTAATATATAGAATTACTTGGTGAAACTGTCACAATATGAATTGAAAAAAAAAAGTCACGCAAAGTTGATACCTCAAAGAGACATTGAAAAAAAAACATATTAATAAGCTTTTAATAGTTATGCCCTTGAAATTATCTTACTAAGTTTAAATCTAACTATTAACAGAATATATTCATTGCAACTTCTTCAAAGAATCATCTTGGTGAACTGTTACTGACAAAGTGTTACAAGCATCATTATATTTTACTATTCTAACAGTTGTGCAAGGAAATGAGATTCTTTTTTTTTTTTATAGAATGTTTCAGAATATTTAGTGCATTCATACCTTTAGTTAATATATATATATCTAAGGTTTTGTTGGAAATCTGAACTTATCGGTCTTGGCGTTATGTAGCTTTCAGTAATATAACAGCTTCAAATAGAAAAACGCATTTATTATTAATTATGTATAAAATGATGGAAAGGAACATGTGTCGATTCATTTGCTAGTTTTCTGATTTGAAATTACTATTTATGTCAATGAAAATCATAATTCGCATGAGTTATTTTTGTTCGTTATATTTAACAGAAACAAGACGTTCAAGTAAACTAATAGTCAATAAATAAATAAAAGTATTTTAATCGATACAATTAAATTTATCAAATTTGTTTTATCGAAATAAATATATTAGATTAAAAATTAAATACTTAAATCTATTAATTATTTTTGCAATAAATGTTGGATATATTTTAATACGAAGATATTGACGAGACTAACATATATTGTTTTCTCTCGTCATCTTTAGGCTATAAGAAAACCGAACGAAAAGAAAAAAAAACCAATTAAATGAATTACAGAGTTCTCTTCTATGTTTCATATTAATAAGAGCATTTTTTTCGATTATCTTATGCCATTAAGTCTGTTTTTACTCGCTGAAACTACACTAAATTTTTTTTTCTACAATTTGATAACGTTAATTGATTTTATTATTTACGGTTAAATTTTCTTCACTTATCGTTATCGTAGGTCAATATGATTAAGTTTTCATTATAACTATGAAAAATTTTCTTCTTTTATCTCTTTAATAAAAAGGAAAGTTCAAAAATAGAACAAAAGCGGATTGTTAAAAAATATTTTTTGTCGGAAAATGTACTAATCCATGACGTTTATTGATAGAACTCTCATTAAAATTACAAAGATGCCGACTAGAAAGCATCTCGAATATGAAAATAAAGAATGCATATATATATTATCATCGCGTGATTGCAAATGAATACATGGCCACAACTATGATCATACTGACTCTTGTCAATAATTATTGAAAATGAATATAAAAAAAACAGTCAACTTTCTATTGTTTGAACCGTAAATATGGGGTAGTCATCCAGGGAATATAGCAGATTAAAAATAAGTTGAACAACATGGATGAACATTAGTTCGCATGAATAAGAGACTGTTGATATATAATAGAATGTCGAAAGAGAAGGGAGAGTGTAATATACATTGAGTGCAAAATATGATTTCAATTAAAAAAGAAGTTTGTGATATTCTTTGAACAAAATATTTTAAATAAAGTCACTATTTCTTCTGAATTAACACATTCCTAAATAAAAGATAATACGATGCTCATAGACCAAATATAAACATGTATTGATCTTTTTTTTTCGTCTACTTTTTATAAAAGTGATTTCGATTATAATATTTTTTTTTTTTGTGTAATGAATATAAGATGTGAACGATTCGAATAAATTTGATATCACAAAGATTGAAATAAATAAAAATTTATTTGGTTATTTATAATAATTGTAATTTCGAAATCTAGTTCGATTGTCTTTTTTTTTTTTTATTAGTAAACTAAATGTTTTCTTATTAATTTATATACATATCATGATGATTTTGTTTTGTTTTTAATTTCATACTGAAAAAAAACGTGAGATTTTTAAAGTAAATAAAATATATATTTACGTAAGTACATGAAAGAATTAACATTCTTTTCGTAAATTATCAAAGAATAATAATACAAATGTTTTTGTTGATAAGACAAACGATGAGAGTTGGAAATAGAGCTATAATCTATCAGTATCAAGTCTAAGTTTCCGCTGGTATTTATCATTGGAAAAATGACAACCAGGTGTCCCTGAAGCAAAATGATCTCTTATTCCCTTTCATGTTTACTCAATTATTACAAAGGGCATAGTTCTTATCTATTCTGTGAGAGCGACAGTTTTAGCATGTCGTATATTGTTTTTGTTAATATTATTGCTTGATGAAAAAAAAATATGCTTGAAAAGATTAGTTGTGATATTTAATGACAGGTGATAGATTTTATCCGTGTTAAATCAAATTAATCAGTACATAAAATATCGTTTAAGTTCAAAAACAACAAAACGTCAAAGTGACTGTTACAGATGTTAATCATGTGATATTGATAAACGTTGAATAAGTCTGAAATGTTGCTTTGTATATACCACATATATTGAGAGAAACAAAAAGCATTGGTGTTTATTACTCCTCTTCTCTTTCTGTTCTGTGCTATATGTTTTGGGGTTATTCTTGCCCCATTCTGTGATGATGCGTATACATAAATCGATCTTTGCTATTACGATGCATTTTTTGTCAAGGACACAAGAATAATATTTTTTTTTCTTCTTATATGAGTGAGGGGTACATTTAAAGTTATTGCTCAATCACTTGGTCAGAAACAGTTAATATAGCTTTTTCTTTTCGTTTTATTGATAGTTGGCGTAGTTGTTCAGCTACTTCGTAGTCTAATGGCATGATATAAGTTTTGGGTACTTGTAATGGCGGTTCGAATCCGTCCGAAAAAATGTTGAACAACGCTATCCAACCTTAAACATCATCTTTTTTTATTCTATTGACTTGAAATGAAATATTCTAAAGTATCTTTGTCTACAAGAATTCTTGAAATAAATTATTCTTTAGTATTTTGTCTTTGTTAGTTTGATTAGTTCTTATTTATATTGCAAATATGGTAGGAGAGCATTATTATCAATTAGGAAAAAGAAAACTATTTTCATCTTAATCAAAGGTAATGTTTCTCTATCTATAATTAGCGAAAATATTCATCGTCATTCGTTATCAAACCTCTAACCCTCATAATGTATCGTGATATAAAGAGAGAAATATAAAAAGGAGTGTGTCAAAAGGGAAAATACCCTGTTCTATTCTTGTTATTTGTTTCTCTTGTTCGTTGTTAATACCAATAATATGATTGTTTGATAATAACGTATGCCCCATAATCGAACAAAACGAATATGATATCACAAATGTTATATTTGCGTGAAGCTTTATATGTTTTATCTTTTTACTCTATAAATCCGAGTGGATTTTCATTTTATTTATCTGATTTTTAGATTTGTAAGGTATAGTATTTTATCTGGATTTATAACAATATGTCATCAAGACGTAGTTTATCACGAGATTCTCGTTCACGTTATGCTCGTTCATCATCATATAGCAATGATCGCTCAAGTTCTTCATATCGTTATCGTCCATTACGTTCTCGTTTAATTGAACGAGAATATTCATTACCATCTCTTACTTTTGATTCTCTTGATGATCCATATTTTTTTGAACGTCGTTCAAGAAAATTTTTTGATGATTTTGATCGTCGACGTCGTTGGCGTTTTAATGATGATTTTGCTCGTCCATTTCGTTGGCGTTTCAATGATGATTTTGATCTTCCAGTACGTTGGCGTTTTGATGATGATTTTGATCGTCCATTTCGTTGGCGTTTTAATGATGATTTTGATCTTCCACTACGTTGGCGTTTTAATGATGATTTTGATCGTCCACTTGATTGGCGTTTCAATGATGATTTATTTAATGATTCATTTTTTAAATCTAAAATTGGAAGTACCTCATTAGGTTTTGGACGTAATATTCCAATAACTTATCGACCAACTAATAGTTTAATAACAACAGGAAGAAATATACCAGTTCAATATATAGCAACACCAAGTATTAATCGTCGTGAAAATGTTTATTCAACATTTGATACTAATAATGATTGGGCATCAAATTCATTTCAACGTAATAATGATAATTTCAATAGTATGTTTTTTTTTTTATTTCATCAATAAAATATTTATTTATTTTTTTGCTTTTGAATTTTAGGACGAGAAAATCGAACTTTTACTGATGATTGGCCACCAAAACGAGGTGAGTATTGACTAATACAATTAGAAGAGTATTGAAAATGACATTTTATTTTCTAAATCAATTATCATATCTCGACAGAATCTCCAACACGTAAACGAACGTCTTTGACAATATACGTTCGACCACCTCGTAGGTGTTTGTGTCAGCATGAGGTTTTGTGAAACATAGAAAATTATGCATGATTTCTACTTATTTTGATCCAAAAATAATAATTTAATTATATTTTAGGCATTCAATACAAAGATGCATCGTATGAAAAACAAGCTACGTCAACATCAAACTATCCATCATTCAATAGAACATATTATTATTGAAGCGAACTGACATCTCTTGGTGCTCTTTTTTGGTTCTACATACCTACACATTTATTTGAAATTAAAATATTTATTGAAGCTTTTCTTTTAAACTAATTTTTTTTTTTGAATTTCTACTTAAAGTATTTATACGATTGACTATATTTATTCACATTTGACTTAGTAGTTTCTTTATTTTTTTTAATTAATATTAAATAAGAATAAACAAGCGATTGTCAAAGTTAACAGTTACTCTTATTCTACTATTCATTATTGTCTACTTTTCTTAATACATTGCATATTTTGATCATACACAAACATGAATTCGATAATAGAGCACAGTTTTTCTCTTATCGAGTTATTATCTGTATGTCATTACTTCAAATATTTATATATTTGCATTGCAATCAGTTGTTTTTTGTTCTCCTTTTTTTTTGAAAACATATCTAATTGCATACGTTATATTTAAAAATAAAAAAAAAGAATTCATTCCAATATTAAGAAAAATATTGATGCGTATTATGATTGATATTTATAATCTTGTTTATTTCGCAGATAACTATAACTTCAAAAAATAGATTTGTTCATTGAGACAAAAATATTTGAACTTAAGAAATATTATTTCGGGAAATAGTTCTTTCATCAAGAAAAGTAGGCTAATATAATAAGCGAGTTGAAAAAGTGATAGGCTATAAATAAAATTCTATTCTTATATACTTTTTCATTTGATAAAAGAAGAGAGAGGTGGCGTTAGTTGATGGATAAATAGATATATTCATTAATTAATTATAAATAAAAAGACGAAATAATTTCTTTGTTTTATGAAATATCATAAAAAGAATATTTCTATGAACAATATTTATTAAAATTTGCTTGACTTTATTTAGTAAATATGATTCACGCGAATTACGAGACATGTGTTAGTATGAGTCATAATAGACAGCTTAACAAAATTCTTATTGCTCTTCTATATTTATTGTTATCTAAAATCGTAGGAAGAAAAAGTGATGATTGAATTATCTTCAGCTTCAACATCATCATCATTTCCATCGATGGGATTAGTTTCATCACCACCTCGTTCAGTTTGTTCAACAACAAATACTTCAAATAGTCCAAATGTTGTTGTACAAAAACGTTTACATAAATTTTCATGTTCAGAAATTGAAAAACTTAAACAAAAATATCGTATACAACATACAAGTTGTTTTACACATTTACAAACACTTCTTAATAAAAATCGAGTACGCAAAAAAAAAAAAAACAAAAATTCCTCTTAAATGAATTTTATTTTTATTATTTTCCGTAATTTCTTTATGAAAATCTTAATTTAGATATCCAAATGTCGTGAATGTGGTTTAAATGAGCAATGTCGTATATGTTTAGAATGTTCATTATGTTTATGTCGTTATCATGCTCAAAATCATGCACGATTATGTTCACATCCTCTTGCTATTGATATAAAACGTCTTTTTGTTCATTGTTATATATGTGGTGATGTTCAATATGATTCAGTTTTTGAACGTGCAAGACGAAAAATTATTTTACTTCAACAAAATCCATCAAATATTTCATCTTCATCATCAATGATTGGTGGTAAATTTATTTATTTAATAAAAAAAATAAATATTAATGTGTGTGTTTTTTTAAAGGTATTTGTGGACTTCTTAATCTCGGTAATACATGTTTTATGAATAGTGTTTTACAAGCTTTTGTTCATGCACCTGGTAAACATGCGTATGAATGTTATTTTTTTTTCAATTAAATTTTTTTACTTTCAATATAGTTCTTCGTGATTGTTTTCTTTCGGAAAAACAACATCATTGTGAATCAAATGATACAAATCATATATTAAATAATTGTATTATGTGTCAATTACGTCGATTATATCATCATGTAAGTTTTCTACACAAAAAAAACCAAAAAAATTTATTTTCATTTATCTATAAAACATAAATGTGAATAATAATAATAATAATAAATAGGTTCATCAAGCACAAACAACGAATGAACCATTTGTTCCATCACAATTATTATATTTAATATGGACACATGAAAATCATTTAGCCGGTTTTGAAGAACAAGATGCACAGGAATTACTTATGGCTTTATTTAATATAATACATTCACAAAATTCAAATGATGATAGTAAGAAAAATATTTCATGTTTTTTTTTTTTTTTTATTATTATATTTATTATTTTTAGCAAATGATGAAAAGTCTTGTTCATGTATTATTGATCGATTTTTTAAAGGTGCTCTTCAATCTGAAATAACATGTTCTCAATGTGGGTAAGTTTCAATTTTTTGATATAATTCAATTTAAATAGAATCTTTCTTTCTTCTGGAATTGATTGTTCCAAGAATTATTATATCCTTAAACTATTTTTCATTATTAAATATTTTGTTTAGAACTTATGAAATAAATATTAATATGACAAGAAAAAAGAATTTCGAGCTAATAAAAGCTCTATTGAAATGAGATTATTTTTTTTTGTTAAGAAGATTTTAATAAGGTTTTAAAAAGAAAAATCTAGAACAGTTCTTGTCCGTGTTTCCTTCTTCTCAGGCTATGAGAATTTTACTGACAGACAATAACGGATTTAATTGCAACATTCAAGAAGCCTTATGATTCATTTCATAAATCAAAAATTTCAAACTATCGCAGATCCTTCGATTCTTCTATAAGATTGTTAAAAATAAAAAAAGTCAATTATTTTTGTCGACAAGCTTTTGATTAAATCTTTCATCAAAAAGGAAAATAAAAATCATTCGTTCTAGTTGAAACTTTTGTTATATATGATAGGGATCATAAGTTGATAATAAATGAGTAATAAAACAAATTATTTTAAGCTTTGCTTACTCTCAGAAGAGTACCTAATGACATGAGGAGGCTTATCTTAAAAGCTTTTATTATCTGAAGAGATTCTTTCATCAGCTAAAAATACAAAGATTGATTATTTTATTTGAATAAACTCCATTAAAGTTTATTTTCTTGGATAAAAACTAAGGATTGAAAATTCTGTTTTTTTTTTCTTGTCTAGATCTGTATCGACAAAAAATGATCTTGTTCGAGATATATCTCTTCAACTGCCGTTTTCATCATCAAACGGTATGTATTATTATTTTACAATAGAACTCTATCCGATTCAATAAATTTTTAACGACCGATCAAATCTAATATTCTATGCTATAATGTTTTTTTTTTTAAAAACTATACGAAAAATGAATAACATCATAACAATCTATCAATAGTTATTGAATAGAAAAATCAATATTTTTATTTCCTATCTCAAAATACTAAAGAATATTTCAATATGATTTTTTTCAAAACTACAAAAAATAAATGTTAAGTATGTCATTTCCATAAAAGACGATGTCTCTTGATCTTGTTAACTATGTCAAACGATTCTTTACGGATAAGTCTATTTAATAATATTTATAAAAAAAAAAAAAAATTTGTCCTTAAAGTACATCTGTTGTGTCAATCAAGAATATATATGCTAATAGGAAAAAAAAAATATTCAAATTATTTATAAATACAATGAATGTATTTTATTATACAATATGTAGTTGATTATAAAATCGATTTAAATTTTGACAAAAGTTTTATTCATCGAAGATTTATCATGAAATTTGTAAAAAAAATATTTAAGGGGGAAGCCCTCCCCTCGTTCGGAATTTCTCACAAACGTCTTGATAAAAGGTCATGAAACTTTCAAGATCGATAATATTAGTTATGAACTCAAAATTCCCAGATGTTTCCTTCAGAAAGATATGGATGTTGAAAAAGTCCAAAATGGCTAGAGATTGTAATAATTTTTATGACAATTAGGATCAAATCGTAGTACGTGTTTTTTTTTTCTTCCAAAAATATCGTTCCTAAACGTTAGGAAAAGCAAAATACTGAATGCATAATTTTTTAAAGACTGAGGAATTTTGTAAAAGTAATATTTGGAAGGAGAAAAAAAGGCCCATACAAATGTAATCAAAGTACTCATCGAAAAAATTTGAATCCGATCGTACGTACTATGTAAAAGAAAAAGGAACTTTTCTGCATTTATTGGGACTTTTTTTTTCAATTTAAGTAGTAGAAAACTTGCAATATGTTAGTATTCATAGCCTATGCTCTAAGTACTTGTGTAATGAAAAATAATCATCATTATTAGAAAAATTTTCTATTAGAAAACAATAAACATAATGCAAAATTTTTCTGCTCGAATTTTCAAAAGTTGAATTTAATAAAAGACATTTCGAAATATTATTAGTCATGAAAAACTAAAATAATTTCAATTTTTATGTTCGAAAAGGACGAAAATGACTCTTTTAAATAAATTTCATAATTATTTCATTGTTATTGTGTAATCATGTATTTGTAGATGAATCATTTCCATCATCATCGTTTTCTCTAGAAAATTGTTTATGGAGGTATGATCAAATTTTAATAAAAAAAAATTAAATCATTATGAATATATTATTATTTTTTTTTCTAAAGATTTACACATTCCGAAACATTAAGTAATTTTTACTGTGATACATGTCAAATGTCAATGACAGCAAATATAAAATTAACGATATCTCAAGCACCGATTGTTGCTTGTTTTCATCTTAAAGTAAAACAAAAAAAAAAATATTTTTTAATATAAAAGAAAAAAAAAACAAACTACATATTTATTTAATTTTAGCGTTTTCAATATGTAAAAAAATCTCGATCAAAAATGCGTAAAAAAATTTCCGCACATATATCATTTCCTGATGAACTTGATTTAACACCATATATGACAATAACAAATTTAACTAAAGAAAATAATAAATATTATTTATTTGCTGTTATTAGTCATTTTGGTTCATCAGTTGAAACAGGACATTATATGTGTTATGTTAAACTTCAATTACAAAATCGATGGTTAGATTTTGTTTTTTTTTAGAATAAATAAAAATTTTTTTGTTTTTAGGTTTCGATGTGATGACCATTGTGTATGTGAAGTGTCCGCTGAAGAAGTATTTAAAAGTGAATGGTATGTTTGAAAAGAATAGATATGATTTTTTTTTTTTGTTATTTTAAAAAATTAAAAATTAATTTTCTTTTTAGTTATCTTCTATTCTATCAACGTATCATAGTGAATTCAACGAGCTAATTTCACTTATCTTTTGTCTTATAATCTGGATTTCTTTTTTTTTTTTTTCTCTAAATGTTGGTCATTTATTCTCTGTTCGGACTTGTTGTGTCTTCTTTTCTTTTTTCGATAAGTCTTTCTTGTTTTTTTTTTCTTTTTGGACGATCAGATGAATTTTGCTCAGCAAAAAAAAAATGGAGGAAAAAAATAAACTTATATGAAATGTTTGTGTGTATGTGTGGATATATATATATAAATATATTTCTCTTTAGATTAATGAAAACAATAGTTCAATATCAAAAGATATGTCTATTATTACCAAGAAGAAATATGTTGTAAATGAAGCACTTCAACGTTATCAATTACCCGATGAAAAACATTATATTGTCAAGGTAATAATTAAGTGCATTGTCTTTTTGAGTTCAAAATTATATATACAAACAGAAATGTTTATAAATAGATATTATTGAGTGAGTTTAGGTTCGAAAGTTTTCGAACCGACATGCTCTATTCAGAGAGATGATATTTTCATACTCAACTTGATTAGATCTGATAAGTTAGTTTACAAAAGCAATAATGCGTGTACTTTTCAAGGCGTCGATGTGTTTGTTGAATTATCATTTTCAAGATGAAATTGTTGATCTTTTCCGATCATAAGTGAAAGTTGAGTCATCAAATAATATAGAACTCTTGTGCAATAATCTATTAAAAGAACGAGAATAAGCAATAAAAATTCTTAAATGGAAAAAAAAAGTCGATTGAACAATCTTTTTTTTTTGTTATTAGAATATTGAATTTTATTATGTCTTGATTAATTGATATAAAAATTTTGTAGGTGGTTGCTCCACGTGGAAATAATTTACATGAAGTACTAACACCGAGTGGATCGATATTTCTTGTTAGTATGCCAACGAAATTTCGTCAAACAATATTTATTAAACGAGGTTAATTGTTTTATTTTTTTGCTTTTTAAAAATATAAATTTTATTTCTTTTTAGGTGATTATGTACTCGTAGAAGATATTGAAGAAGGTGATAAAGTTAAAGCAGAAATTGTGCAAATTTTATTTAAAGATAATATTAAATATATTCGATCACAAAACTGTTGGTAAGTTTTTAGAAAAAAAAAACAAAACAAGTCATTGATATTTTATGAAAACTTTTATTTAGGCCTAAAGAATTTCAAGATGTTCAAGAAACAGAAAATAATAATGATAAATCAATAGATGATATGATGCCACCATCAGAAAGTTCAGAAGAAGAAGAAGAAGAAGAAGAAGCAGTAAATTCATCGGGAAAAAAAGCCACTGAGTAAATTGTGATTGGCCTTTTATCGTTGTTTTCTGTTACATTTTTTTTCTAAATAAAGCTATTATTCATTTTCATTTTTCTCCGTATTTAATCAATGCGTTGACAAATATCATCGAAGATAATACCATTAATCAACAAAAACTATATTAGATTTTAATAAAAACAATATGAGACTAATGATAGAAAGAGACAAAAGCGTAAAATATGAAAAACACAGAAATCGAACAGTATCAGATGTCTAACTATTTCTTCTATTATATTTACACAAGTTTAGACGCTGTTTAGCAAGCAACACAAACAATGTATCGATTGTAATTAGTTTTTTCCTTCAATTCTTAAGTCCTGGAAAGTAACTACGCAGAACAACAATCAGAAAGCAAGAGAAAAAAAAAGCAGAAAAGGACTTGCTGAAACCAATAGTTCCAACAACAATAGTTGAATATATGATTTGAATTCTACATTGAAGTCTTCCAATCTTCAGCTTATTTTTTCAAATCATTAATTCGTTGTATGTGACAAATAATGAAAAAGTAATATGTAAAGCTCAAAGATAATTAATAAACAAGTCATGCAAAGTTTTCTACTACTGTACTAGGTAACGCTACATACTAAGCAAATATAAATCAAGCAAAAAACTCCTCATACGATCATCACTACCCTCATTTATCTTGTATTGAATACCAAGGTTAATCAAGAAGAAGTTTTTATAATCAACTGTTCTCTTAGAGATCTGTAGGAATAAATTAGTTGTAAAATTTTTAGCAACGAAGTATAAACAGATTAAGAAGACTGAGATTTTGGTATCTAGTAAGATCCACATTGTCTTCATCATTTTCCGATGATTGTACAGCTCAGAATTTGTGACTGGATTATACTATGTTCTAATGAGTTTTAGTAGATGGCTGGAAGATTTGATAGGTTTCAGTAGACTTCAATAGATATATTCTGCAATCTATTAGGGTACAATTGTCGAAGATCTTCTTTTGCATCCTTATCTATCTATATATCTTTTTTATGGACAAGCGTTGAGTCATATTCAAAAGCTAGTACTTAATGCAATCGTGCGATGTATCTAAGTTTTAAACGAAAGAAGTTTATTTAGAAAGCTCATATTTAAAAAAAAAACATAAACTCGAAAATAGTCAAACTAGATTAGACTATTGGATAAGTATGGTCTCTAAATCGATGTTGCATTTGTTCGAAACAGGCTTGCCGATTAGGGGGGGGGGTGGGGGGGGGATTTCCCCCCGCTAAATTCGGATCCTTTCTGCCAATTTCTTTCCGCTGTATTTCTACGTTTTTCTTCTGAAAAATATTTTTTCTAACTTTCGTACAACCTATATATAAACAAAATTTAAGAAGATGAATTTCTCAAAATTTCCTCTCCGCAATGCATGCATACTTATTGATTAGTGGTAGCAATGCGAATAGTTGAGTCATACTATCCCTCTTTCTGGCAAAAATAGATAGATAGCATCAAGAATATATTTTCTGCAAAATTCCCGCAGAAAATCAACTTGAGAGCAGGAGCGTGAATAGGGTGGGGCGCATGGGGCGCGACGCCCTCCTGCTTTTGAAAATTTGGTTTTTTTTGGTGAAAAAAATCGAAAAAACTGCGTTTTTAGGGGTATTTTAGTGCAGAATCCATACGAACGAAGACGTTACGCCCCCCCCCCCCTGCTTCGAGATTTTGAGATATTAAGGGCCTACGCCCCCTTCCCTTAGAGACCGAGTTACGCCCCTGCTTGAGAACACTTTTCTTTGGCAGAAAGCTCATATGTACTCTTTGCCTAAAATTTTTGGTGAATTTCGGTCTGCCTTCCTGCTCATTGTCGGGTTGTGATTCCATCTGTGTCCAATATACGACGTATAACAGTGAATTGAACTTATTTTATTCAAAATAATTTATATTTCAACGAACCCATTCGTCATCGGCACAGTGAACAATAAATATGTTATATATAAACTGCTGACAATGCGATTTTCAAGCAAATTGTTTTTCAGCTTTCTTTTACATCATTTGATAGAGTGTCAGCTGCTGATCACGAAAAATTACTTTTTAGCGCCAGAAAATGCTTCTTCCGGGTCGAAAAATACATCTTTTTCAAAATGTGCAAACTTTTCTGCTTCCTTATTTTTTCCAGCTTCTAAAGATATTTTTTTCAAATTCAGCATAAAAAACTGAGTACAGATAAGTTGTTAGATCGAGTCCAATCTAAAGAATTTTTTGATGATGGTGCTTCGAATTGCGCCGAGTGCAATACGTATAGGCCGATTTTGTAAGCCTATCTAGTTTATTTACGTAAGAGATGAAGTCAAATATTTTATCTCATTTAACTCATCATGCCACCAGTCACAAAAGAACGTATCGCGTTTTTTTTCTTTTCTTTTCTTTGTTGAGAAACTGTTTTTCTGAATTTTGGGCTAAATAGATAGAATTTGACTTGTATTTCTCCATTTTCTTCATAAAAACTAAGCTTTCATGCAATAATCTTATCATATTCGGAAGCATCGCGAAAAACTGAATCGATTGATGTATGTTTCGAAAAATGTCGTTACCTTTAATTTTGTGGTGAAAATTTCAGCCAGGTCTTCTCCGAAAACTAAAAAGCTGAAGTCAATGGAAAAGGTTAAATCATATATCAATCGATTCAGTTTTTCGTACTGATTCCGAATATGATAAGATTATTGCATGAAAACTTAGTTTTTATGAAGAAAATGGAGAAATACGAGTCAAATTCCATGTATTTAGTCCAAAATTCAGAAAAACAGGTTTTCTCAACCAAGAAGAGAAAAGAAAAAAAACGCGATGCGTTCTTTTGTGACTGGCGGCATGATGAGTTAAATGAGATAAAACATCTGACTTCATCTCTTACTTAAAAATCTAGATAGGCGCTTACAAAATCGACCAATGCGTATTGCACTCCGTGCGATTCGAAGCGCCATCATCAAAAATTTTTTTTGAGATCGGGGTCGGTCTAATAACTTGTCTGCACTCAGTTTTTGATGCTGAATCTGAAAAATATATCTTTAGAAGCTGGAAACAAGAATATAGCCGAAAATTTTGCATATCTTGAAATAGTTTTTTTTTCGAAAAAAACGACGTCCTTCAAGTTTTTCGTGATCAGCGGTCCACACTCTATCAAATGATGTAAAAAAAAGGCAAAAAGAATGACTTGAAGTTTGAATTGCTCGCACCTTAAACTGTTTTCATTTTTTGAAAGTTTAAATATATTTGGAAGTGTCTTTGCTTTTTGACGAACATGATCTTGTTTGTTACTCTTAAAAGATTTCTCGATGAACTAAAAATTGTAAAAAAATTGACTTTCTGCCAAATTTTTATCCCCCCCCACTCCTAAAAACAATCGACAACCCTGGTTCGAAATGATTTCGATAGCTTGAGAAGCTTCTTGCAATTCATATATTATTCTTTTCGGAAAGTGTTTTTGTAAAAAGGTTGATGGTTGTCATCAATATTGCTTGTTGAAATCTGTCTGTTAATTACAAAATAACTTTGTAAGAGTTTTGCAAAAGATATTAATTGGTACTGATTGGTTTCTTTACAAAATTTGTCTGTCATTCTTCACTTCTGCAAATCTTTTTTTCCAGAACATGTGTGTAAAAGTCTTCTTTTTCATTCGCACCTCCAACACAATAAATTCCACTATTCTTAGCTTTGGAACTTGCCTTTTAGAAAGTGTTTCGAATAAAAATGGTCTTATTCCATTTATATGTTTTTTAGCTGTTATCTTCATCATAAAATAATATGCGAAATCATCATAAGACAAATTTCCTTGACATTCAATACCTTTATCCAAATCATAGAGTCTAATATTCTATTAAATATGGTTGTTGTTAATATTTATTATAAGTGATGCAGAAATTTTTATCCTATGCATAATGTATAGAGTGAAAATTATGGAAGATATCAATAAACCGTAATGAACTATCGCACTGAATGGATATCTGAAGTTATTACTTAAAAAACATTTGTTATCAATTGTAAAACTTCATTTGCATCATTAAAAAGAAACCACTCATAAAATACACTATTTAAAGTCGTAAATCTAGTTTTAATGACTATTTCTTCTTGCATTCCTTTTTTTTTGTACAGAAAAGCAAATAATTTAACGAAGAGAAAGATAATACTTTGATCCTTTGTGTAATCCTGATCAGCATTGAAGATTATGTTACGATGAAATTAAGATCCTCATTAACATGAGCATTTTTTGTTATATACTGGTAGATAATTAAAAACTGCTATAATATTTCATAACAGTAATATAAATTCAAGGAGAAAAATGAGATAACTTTGATTCAATATGAGTGACTAAATAATAACAACAATAAAATGGTTTTCTAGTTTTATTCATTACATATTCAAGTTCTAATAAAATTTCCAACAAAATAGCTAGATTCACCAAACATTTATATTAAAAAGTTGTTTTCCAATTTTCAAAAAAAAAAACTTCCTAAGAAAAGAATATTTTTAAACGTTCGCTCATGCACTCAATATTAAGTTTCTAACACGAAGGAGTTTAATTGGAAGCTTCTCTACAAAAAAAAATGATTTGATACAAAATTAAAATATCGATTTTTAGTTAAATTTAATGTGAATAGAATGATCATACTGGATATACAGTAAAATTTCAATATTTCATCAGTGAAGAGTTGAACAAAAATGGTTTTTAATGGTTTGAAGTCTGGCATAAGTTTCTGTATTATGTCTCAGTGGCATTTTTACTTCAAATACAATCAACTGACCAGCAGGAATGCTTAATTTCCTTTCAATTGAAGAACAAAGGATGAAAAATATGATTATAACGAACTCAAGTCTACTCTTTTGTCAGTGAGACTTTAGGAAAGGAGAGGCGATCGTTCCTTTTCGAAAATATTTTTCCTAACAAAAAAGACTTAGTGTAATGAGAAATACAAATGTAATCAAGAATTGAATTTTTTTGTCCCAAACAAGACATGGTTATCAATGTGAAACAGTTATTATAATAACAAATCTTCATATTGTTCATATACAAAAATACGTAATAGCTTAGAAGAATAATAGAAATTTATTCATACGTAATAGTCACTTAGTTGACATAGGATATTGTTCAATAAAAATAAAGTTGAAAGTTCATTTTTAATATTGATTGAATTGTATGATGCATAGTAGACAATAGAAAAGTAGTGCTTATCGGGTTTTATCGATCACTTGTGTCATAGTTGACAACAACAAGTGAAAAGAGATTAGACATTAAAACATCACGTTTATTGTTGTCTCACACCAATTGATTGCATGAACCGATCGGTAAACATTATACTTTAGTTAATCTCAACCGTCTATCGTTGTCAAAAAGCTTAATACCTTTTTATTTTTTCTCTCGTTCACTCTCACATTTTCCTACAGCATAAAACGAGTTGCATCAATCATTTATTTCTTCATTCTGATTAATCATGGCATCATCATACTTCTTTAATGTTATGATACTATTATTAGTGTTTGTTCATAATCATAGAATTAGTTCAATACCAGCATGTATCATTATTGATACAGATATGATTCAACGATCTCAAGATGAAAAATCATTATCAAATAATCGTTCATCATCATCATCATCATTACTTTTTCGAAATTTACGTATGCTTGGTGATAAACGTTCATCAACATTATCTGAATTTGTTGTTGAACCTGTACCACTTTCTTATATTGATTTAAAACAAACAACATTATCACCATTAATGAATATTAATCATTCATCATTAAAAAAATCTTTAACAGATCCAATTGTTGAACAAACATTTTCTCCATGTCCAATTAATTTACTTAATGAAATTGAAACACAAATGGTTGTTCCATTTGAATTTCGTCGTTTACGTATTGAACAACCTGATCATCGTACAAAATTTCTTGATGATGATCCACGTAAAACTGTTCCTGATTTATCAACAGCTGTTTATGAAAGACGTTCAGATCCTGAAGGACTTCGTTTTTGTCGTACTTGTCGTGATGGTAAATTCAATGAAAATATTTTTTTACAAGAAAAAACAAAACAAAAAGTTTTTTTTTTGTTTTTACATTTTTTATTTTCTAGGTTTTTGGACTCCATTAACTGTATGTGAAACTGTTCGATGCGATGCTGAATTATTACGAGCCAATCCACGTTTAGTAACGGAATGGGGTGAAATAAAACCATTAGATGGTGGTGCACTTTATGCACCTTCAACTGTTTTTGCTATATATGCATTTGCATTTGGACCACATTGTAAACGATGTGAATCAAATGGACAATGGAGTCGTTATGCCTTACCTGAACTTTGTTCTGATATTAAATTTTTTGGTCATCCAACAACAACACCAATCAACAGTCTGACTTCAACAAAATATGCACAATTAAAACATAGTAGTACAACATTATCATCGATACAATTAAGAAACAAAAAACAATAAAACATTATGCATCCTTGATTTATATACATAGAAATATCAGTTTAGATTAGAATTATTATATATATGAAATTTTATCCAAATTTTTGAAAAAAAAAAGATCTCTTTGTTATCATACAAGAAAAGGCTTAATAAACAACTTTGTGCACACACACAAGCACACACGCACACAAGCATTTTTGTAGAAGAACAGGTGATAAAATGATTGCACTAGCAAAATTTCATTTGTTGATTTTTTACATTCTTGGAGCACCTGGTAATGAATTAACATAATTGATTAAATCCTATATTAATCTATATTATTATTTGAATTTATTAATTTATTATGACTCACCATTTTATTTGTTGATGAAGCTAATTCTTGAAGGGTTTTGCCACTAACCTAAAAAAGTAAAAATGAAATATTTCTCATAAGAATTGATCATTTATTTTTTTTTCTAAATTATACTTTGCTCATTGCTCTTGTATTAGCTCCATAAGTAACTAAAAGTTGCGTAGTATATAGATTGCCTCGAATAACAGCCATTTGTAAAGCTGTTGTAGACGTTGATTTATCTTGACATTCAGGATTCGCACCATTACGAAGAAGAAGCTCGATTATTTCTTTATTACAATCATGAATTACTAAATTAAAAAAGAAATATTATCTTTTTTTTCAAATACTTTATTTTAGATTAACCTGCTCGATACAATGGTGTCCATTTATGTGGTCCAACTTGTCGATTTATTTCAAAGTCTTTAATTTTTTCATCTGGCTCATTATTTAATTGTTTTATAATAACAGAAATTGTGTCAAAATTTTTACTATCAATCGCATGATGTAAAATACTTATACCTAGATGAAATAATTAGAAAAATAATATTTTCATATATAGCTTTTGTTTTTACCATTTTGATCAATACTATAAATATTAGCACCATTTTCAATAAGTAAAGCGCATGCTTTACTAAAACCAGTACTTGCTGCAACCATTAATCTAAATTTATGAAAGCTATATTATTGAAATTGATATTAAAAAACTAAAAAAACATACGCTGTTTTTCCAGAACTAATATAATTATTAATATTTGCACCAGCTTTTACCAGTAATTCTACTTTACTTTAAGACAAAAAAAAACTATTTCGATTAGTTAATAAATTAGATGAAGACCAATTCACTAACTTTATATCATGTTTAGCACATGCATGCATTAAAGGTAAATTTCCATCTTTATCTGGATGTTCTAACAGATGATGTTCTGGTCCTCTATATGAACAAAAAAACAAGTGTTTGTATTTTAAAAAGAATTATTCATTATGTGATAAACATACAAAATCTGAAGTAACTTTTCCAGTTGCTCCTTTCCAGGTACAGCAATAGCTTTGAAAACTGTTTCACCATTCATTGGTTCAGGTGTTGTTGCTGTTAATAATATTGGAGACCATTCTGAACGTTCACCAGTCAAACCGGATTTACATTGTATACGATATTCATATTGAGTATTTGGTTTTAAATTTTCTATTTTAAATCCTAATGCTGAACCTCTATTTGTATAGAGAAAAAAAAAAAAACAAATTTCAATTAAATAAAATTTTTTCAATAACATACGTATATATATTTTCCCAAATTGAACCAATTTTTTTTTCACGTTGATGAAGATAAATTAAAGAACCTGAATGTGCTGCACCTGTTTCATCAAATATTCTTCGATTTCTTGAACGAGTTTGATCTTGAATTCGAACATGTTCCCATTCAAGTTCAATTGAATGATGATTTGCATTAACCAAAACGGGTGCCGAGGGTCTATCTAAGCGTCCAGCTAAATAAACAAAAGAATAAAGAATTATTTATCTCATTTATGATAAAAATTTCAATTGATTATATGATGAAAGAAAAGAGAAGATTGATAGCTTACTCATGTTGCTACTGTCGTTTGAGCTGAAACGTTTGTAAAAGAAAAAAAAAAAGAGTAATGTATTTCTTCATTTTAAGTACCTTTAGAAGCATTTGCCATTGTCGTCATCGACGCAGGATGCCAACAAATAGAAAAATACTTGACATATGAAAGAAAAGTAAGATGAGAAGTAATTTTGAATTGGATAGAAAAAAAAAATACAAGGTGAGAATAAGAATATTCTTATTCATTTTCTCCGATCGGAATTTAAATTTTTTCTAACTTTAGAATTCTTTTATGATAATTGACAGTTATCCTTTCGGAAGTTTACATGCAAGTGAATATTACACATGAATTTAATAAGTATGCTAACCATCAATCTACTTCGAATTTATGAAGAGTAAAGCAATTCAAAGAAAAATTTATTTATATTCAATTTTATAAAACAAAAAAAAAAAAAGAAAAGTGAAATGATTCGACCATTGCCTTGTGTTTATGTGTAGTGATTGCTTGGCAACATTTGTTGAACTATAGGAGGTCGCTTGTCGTCATGTGATATTTAAAAGGAAGCTTTATTAACTTTTTGAAGTGTTCAAATGGCAATAGGAAACTATTTTAATGAATTCTTCTTTTTTTTCTCTTGCAAGATAGAAAAACTAAAGAAATAAATTTACTTTCTTTTAAAGACGCATACGTGACTGAAGTCTTAAAAAAGACGTAAAGTATTAGAAATGACAATTTTATTTGAAATACTTGAATTAAAAATAAATCATATTTAGATAAAAGTTGATTGTTTCATAGATTCAGAAAAAGAAAATTATATTTTGAGTTTATTAAGTAGAACAAATCCATGCATTTACTTATAAGCTAAATGGCACACATTTTAACCATACCAAAAAAGAGCTATAGCTCTGAAGAGTCACTCCTATGAACTTCAGGCAAATATTTACTTTTACGTTAATTTCTTTCATTTGACAATAGAATGAATAATGGAATATGTTTAAAAAAAAAAACCTCCGGAAGCTATTTGTAATACAAACAAAATAACGATACAAAACGTGGAGAACAATTAATTAATAGGTAATAACTATTCTATAGCAACAAATCTTACAACTAAAACATAGTTTTAAATAGAAATCATTCTATGAGAATTACCATTCGTAATGAGTTCGATTAAATAAATTAGATCACCAAAATATAAAAAAAAAACATGAACATAAAAGAAGAGATATATAAAGATCTTGGTAGTCTTCAGCAATATTGTACATCCAAAAAGTTGGTGCATCTGACTATTTTTTGAATAACTCAAACACGGTTTTTTTCATGGCTGCTTTTAAACTGACATTTTTTTTTGCTGTCTTTTTCATCAAATTTCACAAAAGTTTCAACTCAAATTGTACACTAATGAAGTCGAAATCACTTTATACTCACAATAAAATTTTGAGTTGCTCTGTCGATCTTTTTTTTTTCAGCAGGATTTTTTAAGAACAAGATATTTTTTTACTATTAGCTCCTGATTCATAGAACTATTTATTAAACTTCAAACAGATGAACATTTTATTTTTTTTATGATAGAGAATAATTATATGGTTTTATTTGAGTCTCAAAAAATATTTGTTCATGTCATTGTTTGAAATGAATTATAATAAGAACATAAACAAATGGTTGACAGAACCCTGACGATTGACATATATAGACATAAAATGAACTTTAAAAACAAACAAAAAATAAAACTCCTGTATGTAATCTAAATAATTGATACAGATATTGTAGAATATAAATAATAAATAGTGCTAATAATAAGATCCGTAAAATATAGTTCTGATTTGGAACATATGGTTTGTGTTCCATTATATATATGCCCATAATAATTAATACTATAATCTAAGGTATAACTAGATAAAAAGGAAAGAACATATAAGAGAACAATTGTTGTTAATTGTTTGTCTTATTTATTCTCATCGAGATACAGGATATCATTCGATAAGTTAATTGTTTCGTATTTCAATACGTTCGTGATCCAGATGAAACAGTCGCGAAAAAACGATGCAATTTCCGCAAGAATGAGTACTTAAAGATAAATTAATATTACAAAGTAAAATTTCTATGCTTGCATATATGAATAAATGTTTTCTCTATTGAAATTAAAGTATGTCAAATCAATAGAAAGATTGCACAAAAAGTCTCAAGCTGAGAGAATATGAATCATAAACTAAAGTATTTAACAATCAATCAAACCTTGTTAAAAACATACATCAATATGACAGAAATGCTTCAAAATGCAAAGAGTAAAGTCTGAAGTTGTAACGGAGGGATAGTTTGATTGTGTGTTCAATCAATGTTGAATCAATTTATTATAATACGAGTGAATAAACTCGTAAGTGACTGACTGATTTTAACAAATAACACAATAGTTGAAATAAAATACAGATCACTTTTATCAAAATATGTTCCTGACTAAAACGTACATGCGTATTGAATAATCTAATCAAGAACTTCAGCAATAAGAATAATTATGTCGAAATCGATCGTACTTTTGAAGGAGTTAGAGTACATGACAATTTGATTAATTTCACTAGATTTATTTGCAATTTATATCCGTGGCTTTTAATAATAAAAAGAATCCGAATAGTAGTTTGAGTGGACAAACTTATTTAGAACAAGAATATACGAAAATAAAAACTCTTAGTCAACACTCAAAGACAGGATGATAAGAGAGTCCAAATGGAGTTTCCTGATGCTTAGAACGAGGAATTATTATTTTGTGAAGACCATGTAAAATGCTAAGGCAAACAAATCTACGAACTCAGATGTCTTCCTGTTCTCTACAACGGTGTTTTGCTGTGATGTGACAACCATAAGCATAATTCTAACGTCGATCTTCAGTCTACTGCCTAGATAAAAGCAATTTTTAAATATTCAATCAGATTGTTGTGTTTCATGCCAAACACGTTATAGAGAACTATTCTATCTATGCTTCTACATAGCCGCAACAAAATACTAGTTCCATATTCTAGGTATCAAAATCTAGGACTTCGGTCTTTTGAAGACTCCATATTTGGAAATCAGTTTAAAAGTTTTATTTTTCTAGACTGTTATTATAAATGAGTGTTTCCACTCAAAGTTCTATTCAGACGTTTTTGAGTGTTCAAGAAAGCGGAAATTTTATCGCTAATTATATTATATTGCTTTTTTTTGAGCATATTCATTCCTATCAAAATTTTTCATTTTTGCTCACTGTCAACTAACAGTAAAAAGAAAATAAAGATACACTGCTTTTTACATCTAACAGCTTATCACCACTCATATTGGCAATAACACATCCATTTCTACAATTACAATGATTCCAATTACCCATATATATCGTTATTAACTTTCCAAAGTGTGCCAATGCTAACTCATTATGATTATCATATCCGTGTGCAGAAAAACTGAAGAAAAATATATTGTGAAAGTTGCATTTCTTTTTCTTTCAACAAATCATTCTTATGCTTTTTTTTTTAATGAATTATACTAAAAGATAGAGGATTAAAAATTCAACAAAATGTGTTGTTTCAATATCATTAAGTTTTTGAGTCAGAGAGTTCCAAGTTGAATTTTAAATATACTAGTATGCAATTTTTTATATTCTATTACTGATCAAAAACCTATTCAAAAGTAAATGGTAGCTTCGGGGTGCAATGTGGTTCACATCTCTCGTTTATATAATGGTTTTTTTATGATATTTTAATAGGAAAAGAAACATTTCTTGCGGTTTTCATTGCCACGACACAATTATAAAGCAGAATAAACATGACATTCGGAGTTAGTACCAAAAACTACATTGAATTGAAAAGATTTTAGAGAATTGTTTTCCTTTTCAAAATTGATTCGTAGAGGAACGACATCTGAACTTTGTATAGGAAAACATTTCTTTAAAATGTGTTTGATTTAATGTGGTTTTAGATGCTGACTCCGAATTTTATGTTTATTTTTCTTTCAAATATTGTTACGATAAGAAAAACTGTGAAAAAAATATTGCTTTTTCTATTGAAATATTATCAAAAACTATAACGTAAGAGAGAGATGTGAATCACAATTCACCCCGAAGCTATCATTTAATTTTGAATAGTTTTTTTTTGATCACTTGTAGAAAATGAAAAGTTACATAATATAGATTGAAAGAGTCACTTTTCATTCATGTTGGCCTTATAAAAATTGAGGCAGTCCACATTGTATTATATTGAAATAGTTCATTTTATTAAATTCTTAATGCTCTATCTTTGAAGATAAACTATAACAAATTATGAAGTTTTCTTTGAAACAAAAACGGGCACAACTTTTACAAGGTACTTTTTAATGTTTTCTCTCAGAAGGATATGATAGTGATAAAAATTCGTCGTTGCTGATTTCAGACAGCAATGTATACAAACAAAGAAAACTTTTTTATCGAATGCCTTGTTTAGTCGAGCATTTCATGATTTCTGTCGTTAGTCTATTTATATGTCCAATTGACAAAGTCGATAATTTCTAGTATCGAGAAAATCCAACAACTTGACTTTATTTATCGAATTACGTCATCTACGATAATGTTTAATAAAACACAAAATAAAAGAATTATAATTTTCAGAGAAATTCATAAAAAAAACTATCTTGTTCGATGAGAAGATCCAATCTAATTAAAATCAAAATGGCAATCGAACGGTGTCTTAGACAGATACATTAATTTTAAGTAAATTGTTGCTTGAAAAAATGAAGGAACTTCATATGATATATATCTTTTGATGATATTTGTAAGAAAGAAGTTGCATTGTTTAATTGAGTTTATTGTTTTAGAAAGAATCAATAAATGAATGGAATAATCTTATTACTAAATGTTTTCTTTATATGTTGATAGAAGATTTCTTTCTCATCCTCAACTTTATAACTTCTCTCATTCTTCATAATGTTTATCGAAATGTATTGTATTTTACTTTTCCTATTTTCGCATTTTTTTATTACAGGTTTTTATAATAACTCGAGGTTATCCGAATTCTCTAGTATTTT